GGCCCTTCAGATCCCTACCTGTGATATAAAGCAAAACATGCAGGCACTATTCTCATCTGTTTTATGAGAAAGAAGAGGACTTGAGCCTTTCTGTATTTTGAGGCAATGAATGAATTGTAGCAATGACTGACATCTACAAAAGCAGATCTAGCCTATTAAAGAAAGAGAAGGTTAGAGTGATATGTGTACTGTCCAGACAGTTTTGGCCTCTCTTAGTGGAGGAGTGATTATTGCCCCACAGAAAACAGTTCAGGTACCCAGAATTTTAGTGTAGCCAAAATTGGGCAGTAGACAGTAGTGGATGGTGTTGTGGGTCAGTGGCACTCACTTGATCTCCTGACAGCTGATTCACTGTGAAGTAGGAGAGGGGCGATGTGGTAGGGAGGTCTGTGTGGTGCAATTGCACAGGTAGGAGACAATCCAGCTGTTGAGGTTTTTGTTTTTTGTTTAAAAGAGTTGCTTTATGCAGGATTGCATTCCTGCTTGCAAACACACTGGGGAAGCAGTGCTGGAGTCAGGTTGTTCTGAGCAAGGAAAAATCCTGGATTTGGGCTGCACATCTAACTAGTCAGACAAGACAATCATGTGAATTACTTACATTCCAGTCTATAGTAGCAAAAAAAGGATGCCGCTTAATTTCTTCAACTCCATCAAGGCCAGCACCTGCCAAAGCAATGGAAGAGAGATAATAAAGAGGATGTAAAATGAACATCATTTCTAATAAAGAGGACCTTCTCATTGTCTCCAGCAACCCCAGCAAGAGATTTGTGGCTGGTACGAGCAAAAGAGGCGGCTTTCTGGTTGTGGTTCCAAAACTACAAAATAGGCTTTCAAGTAAGGTTTCTCTGGTCCCTTCTTTGCCTCCTTTTATGTGAGCACTTAAATTCCAGTGGGCTTCTTCTTCTTCTTCTTTAGTTGGGGCCGCCCAATGATGGATTTTAGTGCTGCTGTTTGTGTTCCATGGTTGCTATTTGAGGCATCAATTGTGCTAAGTTGGCCTCAGAGGAACTATGAAACAATGCATGTCCCAAGGGGCTCTCACCAACACAAATAGTATACAGCATTTATTTTCAGCTGTAGTACTGTACACCAGAGTTTAAAAATAACAATAATAATAGTAGTAGTAAGAGGAACAGAATCATTCTGCCCTCACCTTCTGTTTCCTGCTAACGTAATTGACCCCTTCACTGTCAATAACTTCTTATGCTTTAAGTTAGTGCTTTACCACTTATGTAGTGCTGAACAGCAACATCTAATCAAAGTAATTCCTGGAAAGACTACTAGTTAAAATTCTATAGGCAGACTTGAAAAGAACAAATGGTTTTCTGTAGAAGCTGTAGTTAAATAAGTGGGCAGAGAAAGAATCACACTGGCAGGCCAAAAACGCAAATGCTTTTATGAAGCGTACGTCGCCTACGCACTCAAAGCAAGCATTTCAACCACATCATCAATCTTCCTTTATTTAACCATCTTCTGAATGTTCATTGTCAGAATCTGACCCCAGTGCTACCTGTAACAAGTGTGAATGATCATATGAAACATTTTTCAGTGCAATGCTATGGCTGAGGCAGAAACTTACGGGATCCAGCTCCAGAGACCAACTGCTGGTGCAAGGGATAACATCCTCTTGCATCACTGATGGGACCCAAGTCCAGCCTCAGCCAGTTATGGAACACTCTGCACTGTATCTAAAGGACCCCTGGAAGGGAACTGAATCTACTATGTGGAAGCAATGCAGGACCTGAGAGGATACTTGGTGGCTTTGTATGTGGAAATACATGACAGATGCACAATGCCCTTTTTTTAGATCTCTCATGGTGGTGATAATAGCAGGAGCAGGAGCAGGAGTATTTGCCCGGCACTTTCAAGTATTGAAAGCACTTCACATGCATTAGCTAGTTGCAAGTCTTGTAACACCCCTATAAGGTAAGTGAGTATTATTATCCTACATAGGAAAGGGGGAAGGATGAAGGGTAAGAGAGTTTGCCTTGCCTAAGGCCATCTAAGTTCATGGTCAAGGCAAGATTCAAACTGGGATGTCTTACGATTGCACTATATTGCACTTTTGTAGTATATTTCTTTTGTAATATGTAATATGCTGTTTGGGGTATATTTATATAAGTATATTTATATACAATACTGTATATAAGATATATTTAGATACAATACTGTATATACAATACTGTTAGTATGGGGGGCCGGGAAGGAATCTACATGAACCTTAAATTCCATTGGAATATTTTCTACGTGTATCTCACTGTTTGATTAAGTTGATAAACATTCCTAGGGGGAAACACTGGATGAGTGCCTTTAAAAAGAATGAAGACATAGGCTAAGATTATGGACAGCATTAAGGATAGCTCCGTGGGATCAGTCCATCCAAGGCCAGCCTAACTGCAGAGGAATATCTTTTTACTTCAGTCTTCAGAGTGACATCCCAGAAACTTAAGCTTCCTTTCATGGCCTGCAGCAGCTGACATGGATGCATTCTGAAAAAAAAACTTTTACCTTAAAGATTATATTAGTATTTGTAGCAGATCCAGCAAACAAAATCAAAATCTGAGAGTTTCCTTCCTCCTCAGCTACATATCAATAGAAATGCAAGACCTATAGCTGAGCCAGATGGCAATCACATCAGGCTGCCAAGAATCCTGTTAACAACTGGCTGTTAGAACTCTACCGGAGAGACTGGTGGGTGTGCGATCAAATGCTCTATATAGTCAGCCTTCGTCATGCCACCTCAAGCAGTTGAGCAGCTAAGGATGCAAGGCGGAGGAAAACCATCTTTCCTTTTCCTCTCCGATTTCCTTTTCGGCTCTGATTGGATCAAATTATGTACTTAATTTAGCTTTACATGTTTATTTGGAATCCAAGTCAGAAAGCTGGTAATGTAGCTTAGACACGGTAGCAGGTTTTCACATCTATCTGCACTTGCTCTGCCCTGTGTTTGGCTCTCTAAAAGAAATTTAATTAGATGCCATAATCCCCTGGGATGCTGCTGTCAGTGAACTCCTTAATCAACTGGGTAATTAGGTAATTTTTAAAAAATAATCCTGAGACCAATCTTACAAGAGACAAAGGTTCACTTTTTCTTTTCCCTATAGTATTTCCCCCCCTTTTTTCTACTTAAGTTTCTTGCAAGCAGAGTGTGCGTGTGCGTGTTTGTTGTAGCCCCTTCAAGATTAACAAATTGATTATGGCATAAGCCTATGCCATAAAGAATTTGGTTAATCTTTAAAATGCCACAAGACTCTATGGTGATTTTTACTGCAAGAGACTAGCACATAAAAAGAGGGCATTGGAAGATGGTGAGAGCTGGGTAAGGTAAAGGTAAAGGGACCCCTGACCAGTAGGTCCATTTGTGACCGACTCAGGGGTTGTGGTGCTCATCTCGCTTTATTGGCTGAGGGAGCCGGCGTACAGCTTCCGGGTCATGTGGCCAGAATGACTAAGCCACTTCTGGCAAACCAGAGCAGCGCACGGAAACGCCGTTTACCTTCCCGCCGGAGCGGAACCTATTTATCTATTTGCACTTTGATGTGCTTTGGAACTGCTAGGTTGGCAGGAGCAGGGACCGAGCAACGGGAGCTCACCCCGTCGCGGGGATTCGAACCGCTGACCTTCTGATCAGCAAGTCCTAGGCTCTGTGGTTTAACCCACAGTGCCACCCGCGTCCCTATGAGAGCTGGGTAGGGAACTTAATTGTTTCCATGCACCAGATTCTTATCAAAATCAGCCTTGCGGGCCAAATGTTAGATGTGGGCGGGGCCACTCACCTGTCAATCATGGAATGTCACAAAGGTTCGAGGTGCTTTGAAGTCCTGAAGTTGGGAACTTGCAAGGCACTGCTAAAACATTTTTTTCCTAGGTTTTATCAGGGCTTTTGATGCAAACAGCTTGGAAAATCCTGCTGCTTTCACTATGTGCTGCCCTTCTGGACTGGGAACAGGCATGCATAGCCAACTCAGGTTTTACCTCTGCTCTGTGACTCATTAGATGGCATCACAAATGACATCGGCTGAAGAGTGGGTGGGTGTGGAATTAATTTGATTCAGTATTGGTCATTTGTTTAGTATTTTATAATTTCATCACTGCTGTATTGTTTCTGTATGAGCTGGCTGTTTAGAAATACTCCTATAAGGAAATAAATAACTAGCATCTGTTTCAGTATGTGTAGGCAACACTTAGCTATCATGACTAATTGCCATTATTAAACCAATTCTTCAACAATCAGTGCAATCCATATTAAAAGCCCAAAACACATATTTAATTAAAGCTCCATCACCTTGCATCTCTTCCCAGCACATTGTTCAACTATGCCATTTACATGAGAACAAATCAAAATTAAGTGACAAGGAAAACAAACTACAGATTAACATTTGATTGTAATCTATCACTGAATTTATCACAGACCAGAAACGAAATGAATCCCCATACCTAATCTGTTAGATGGATTCCTCTTGAAAAGAGCTCGAAGCAAACTCTGAGCTTCTGTGCTCAAAAACTGTGGCATTCCTAGCTTGGCTCTGAAAGAACAGAAACTTTTAAAATGTAGGAGGACTTTTCAGAAATGTCTAAAAAGATCACACACATATTTAGCAGTGGAAATAAATACAGATGCACAGAGGAAATATGTATGGAAAAATATAGAGAGTCCCCCAAAGTAATCTCGAGGCATATTGGATAAAGACTGCTCCATAATACCGACTCTATTAAACATTTCTTTAATTCTTTCCTCATAGTCTTTACCATGCTTATTCTTCTTCACAATGGCTATGGGAAGTATGTAATTCCCCCCTTTAAATACAAAATGGCACGAACTCTGCCCTCCTTCGCATCTAGTCACCCTAGTAGGAATAGGAGAAAAATATACGCAATAAATAATTTAATTTGGATGCCATGTTGCAGGTTGGGGTCTGATATAGTTGCAGATTACTGATCTAGAGCTCCCAGCTATTTATTTTATTTACCCTACTACTAGCTCACATATAGGAAGGGCTGTACCATAGCACAGTGGTGGGACATCTGCTTTGCATGCAGAAGGTCCCAGGTTCAATCCCCAACATCTCCAGATAGGGCTGGGAGGGACCGATCTGAAATCCTGGAGAACTGCTGCCAATCCATATAGGCAGTACTGAAGCAGATGTGCCAATGGTCTGACTGTTCACAGATTATTTCAGAATTGGTAGGTTCATCTTTAAATGAAAGCTGAATCAAATTTCTCCCCCGCCTCTACAGCCAAGCAAACTTTTTCTATTCCAAGCAAAAGAATACACGTTTTACGTCAACAAACAAGTTGGAGCTTACTACTCACTTGAGAATGAGAGCCATTGTCTCCTTTCTGTCTTTCCCCTGGAATGGCAACGACCCTGTCAACATTTCAAACTGTAAAAGGAGGAGAGCAGAAAGCTAAATAAAGACCTAAGTGCATAAGCATTGCAAGTAGTGGTGTGGTGTTCTTGGCAGAAGTCCTGGTGATCATTACAATTGGTGTCATAGACCCTACCTCAAAGAGCCCCCAAGGGAAGTCCAAACTCTATGGTGAGGGCCCTTAACCCCTAAATCATTTTGCCTCTTTTGTTTGCCTTCCTTCCACCCTCCCACCAAATTCTTTTAGTTCCCTAGTTTACGAGATGCCACTCCAAGCACGATCGGCATCATGCTAACATCTGTTCCACTTTGATTAAGGCAAATTATAATTGGATACTAAATCTAGTTTAAATAGCTCAGAGCACATCTTTCACTTACATTTTGGTAACTGAGAGCAATACAAGTGGAATTATAAACCCCAAAGAATAGTTGTTCTACATTTGCTTTGACAGATTAAATGGTTTTTAAAAAAGCCATACCAAATTCAAAATTCAAGGAGCATCACACAAGTTCCACAGGAATTCTATTTTTTTCCCCTTATTGAAAATTAGCTCAAAATGTCACTTACTGAGTACAGCAAATAGCCTGAGTCCAATGTGGTATCTGGTGATACTAAAAGACAATGGCCCAGTTCAGACATAATGGGAAATCATTCTTCCCTGCTACAAAAATGAGTTTGCAAAAGACCTGTGCTCACTCAGTTGTGTGCTCTTCTCTACTCTGTTCCATGCCCAAGAGGAGGTGACTGAAAGCTTCTGCAAGGATTGAGGAACCTCCAGATGTTGCTGGACGCCAAGTCTCATCAGCCCCAGCCAGAATGGTCAGTGGTCAGGAATAACAGGAATTCTACTCCAACAACATGTGGAGGCTCACAATTTTCACAGCCCTGATTTGAACTAACCAGAGCTTGGATGTCACAGGGAAGAACAAGATATGGAACCTGCATTTAAAGAGATACAGGCTTTGAAGTTTTCCAAGCAAGCAACATCCATGTTTTGAAAAAAAAAGTCCATGGATTACAGAAGAGGAAACAAAAGCGCTTAGTACTATTCTGAACAGATGAAAATCCAAAGAGAAGAAAGAAAAGGTGACAAGCTGGTGTTTGACCTACACAATATATAGCAAAAGCTATTCTAGGAAATGAAATATCCTTCTTAAAAGGAGGAGCAGCTCCATCTTTCACCACAATGTGGAAACTTTTACCAGCAAAGTGTGATAGTCACCTGACAGTGTAGGCCGATAGATAGAAAACCATCTTTTTAATGAATGTTTGAAAATTATAACCATTTTAAAATAAAATGTCAGAACATGTCTACACAATGCTGAAGCTGGAGTTTCCATTAAGCACACAAGATCCAACGGTCTATACTGTATAATAATTTGTTGCTGTTAGTGTAAAGAAAAACTGTTCTAGCTGTTCTAGCAAAAGCTACTGATGCAAATAAAACTAAAAGCGCATAGAAGACATCTTGAAAAGAAAAAAATAGGACTATGACATCCATTTGAGCTTAATGCTGTGGATCACAAATATGCAGTGCACAAGAGGAAAGGTTTGCAGGAGCAGAAACATTCTTTCGGAAAAAAGAAAAAGGGAGATCCCCCTTCAAATGAACCCCAACTCCAATGAGAATTGAGAATGCCAACTGACCATAGAATGCTGACAGTTGCAGGGGAGGAATAGAAAACAGAGCAGGCAAGTGGGTAAAGTAAGGAGAATGGAATGGAGTGTGCTGGAAAAGAGTATGGCTGGCTAGCTAGCTGCAACCCTGACCAGAAGAATTCTACACTGCAACGTTTTGTTGCAGCACAAATGGTAACAGACTAGCCATTACAATTTTGAGAGGAGACTACAGGAGAAGAATCTGTACCTTAACTGTACCTTATATGTATGAACATTAAGGAAAGTTAGATATTGAGGGTGGGGGCAGAGTTGGCATATACATTATTTCTATTTAACATCACTAAAAAGTAGCAAATATTACACACAATACCCTCTTTCAGTGGGGAGTACAGTCTATTAAAAAATAATCATATAACAAATTTTGTTTTCTTTTTAGTACTTTCCTTCTGTGTCCAGATAATTTAAAATTGATGGCTGTAGTTTACTCAGCTTGCTGCAAGGTACTGTCTGACACTTTCTAAGGTCACTTTGGCACAAAAATACTGACTGATACTTTTTAAGGTCACTTTGTTCTTTGAGGCTGAGGGCGCAGGAATGATTAAAAGATCCACTGGGATTCACAAAGAAGGAAGGAAGGTGAATGAAGTTCCTGCTAGGAAACAAAATACAATAGGAAGACCTGTGCACATAAGACACACAGCAGCAACCTGCAGGTGAGAGGTTAGTGCACACTATCCTTTCAGAAAGTTATTTTGTGACTTACAGATAAGAGGGAAGAAACTTAAGGCTGTACAGAGAGCATCAGCTGGACTCTCATTGTCACAAAAACTTTGCTTTGTTGCCTCATTATGACATGTTTATCTTCTTGAGAAAAAGGGGAAAATAACTGTATGAATTGGCCCTGTGACTGGTGTTTGATGGTGAATACTGGATTTGGGGAAATGTTGTTATTCTGGGTTAAATAAACCTGTGAAATGATATGTGTCCTAAAACAGACCTTCATTCTGCTGACCGCATATATAGAGGCTGTCTCCTGTAATCACCACAGACAGAACAGAATTCAAATATAGATGTGAGCATATTCTGGGGGTTTCAGCTGACACCAAATCGCTCTTCATCAGCTCTGTCTCTTAACTTCTCCTTGGTGTCCAGGGCCAGCCCTACCATTAGGCAGAGTTAGGCAGCTGCCTCAAGCAGAAGATGGTGGAGTGTGAGTGCCTGTGGTTTGCTGCCACCATGCCCCGCCATTCTTTTTGGGCGTTCCCCTCTGTTAGAGGAGGACAAAGTTCTGTGTGGCACACAGCCAGCCCTGTGCCCTCCAAGCTTGCCTGCTTCCCATCAACATTGCCACTGTTGAAGTTCAGTTGCCAGTCTGGTTAGCTTCTTTTGTGGAATGGTGGTGGGAGACACCATCTTGTCCTTTTCCCCAGGTAACAAAATGCCTTGGGCAGGCCCTGTTGGTGTCTATATATCTTGTAGGAGACTGAGAAGCCCCATTTTACTCCCCACACAGACAAAGAATAATAGAATTGTACAGTTGGAGGGGAGCACAAGGGTCATCTGGTCCAACCCCTGCAATGCAGGAATCTTTTGCCTCCAGTTCCTTCAATATGAAGTTCTAATTTCAGAGTAAGTGAACAGCCACTTCATAATCCTGAAGAGACCAAGTAAGGGTTACTTAATTTCTCTCTTTCTTGACCTCTCTTTTTGCACTAATTCATCTGGCAGTATACTAAGGCTCTCCAGTTTCCTAGCAACAGCATGTTATGGATTATGAGGCTGTGCTTCTCTAATGAATAGAAGCTGCAGCAAAAACTCAACTACTTTCCTTCCCTTGGGATTGGATAATATATAAAGAAGTACAAAGAAGTGTGGACAGCCTCAGTTGAGGTGGATGCAATGGGGAAAACGGCAGACTCTCAGCGAAAGAAGCTAAAATACTAAACGCTCAGAATAAAACTGCTTCATAGCAACGATAAGTGCCTGAGATGATTTCGTTTCCCAATGCTAATATCATGGGGATGGTGAAGAAACTCAAACTCATAAATGTGCTTCTTAGATGTAGCTTAATAATGGTTTGATAGGAAATAGCACAGCCACTGCCAAAGGGGACCAGGCTAAAGCAGTCAATCCCAAAATAAGGATTGTCTCATTACCATTAGGACACCAAAGGACCACCAGTCTGCGCTTTGAGTGTGGCCTCGCCGGTTGACCACCTCTGGGGCCATGTACTCTATTGTCCCACAGAATGAATATGCTCTCTTGTCATGATCGATGGCTTCCTTGCTCAGGCCAAAATCTAAATAAAGGTAGATTAAAGAAAGAAATTGAGTATGTGATATAAAGACACTTGCAGTCACTTTAAATACATCAGTCAAGACACAGAACCTGATCCAGCTCTAGAGTTTTTTAGTAAAAAATATTAGTCTCTTTTCTAGAAGAACCAAGCAAAGAAAAAAGGGAAGAGAATTTAAAACCAGGAACCACATGTAAATCTTAGAAGCTGAAATATAAACTTTATACACTTCTTCTAAGTTTTGAGTGTTGGTGGCCCTGGAGGTTCAGCATTTGCAGATACTGTCATCAAGTTAAAGTGGGCTTGGAATAGCCTTGCAATGTAAGTGGTCTGCAGTGGGAAGGAGTGAATTTTAGTAAATCTGCAATGGGAAGGAGTTCCACAACTGAGGAGCACCCCCCAAATGCTGTCCGTTTTCTGAACCTGATGCAAAATTGCTATTATTTAGGGGGCAGCTCTCAAAGCAGTTTCTCAAAGCAGCTACCAAGAAGAAGTAAAACAACAACATGCTAAACTTAAAACCTAGATTAAATCAGAAAATAAGGCCATTAGAGCGGCATCTATTAGTTTTCATTGCAATGGATTACAAAGGAGATGGGATCTAATTAGGCTTTAAAGCTAAACCTTAAATCGTGCCAAAAGAGATCAGGAAGCCAGTGAAAGTTCAAGCATTGAAAAATTCAAGCAAGTTCAGTGTCTATTCATCATCAGGAGGAAATGACAGGTATAACACAAAAAGATGGAGCTGCTACATGGGGTGTGGGGGATGCTACACACCTGTAAT